TTCTGAGCTTTACTTTTTGCCAAGTCCTTCAGAGCATCCTGCACTTCCTCCTTCATCACCATTGCCTCTTGATCATATGTTGTTTCTTGAAATTCTTCTGTGTCAGCCAATTCTTTTTGGTACAATGACTCTGTATACTCCTTCCATCTTCTTTTAACACTTCCTAGATCATTTAATATTCTGTCCAGAGCATCCTAAGTATTACAACTCTAGGCTTGAATTTGTTCTTAAGTTCCTTCAGTTTAAGAAATGCCAAGCATTTTTGTTCCTTTTGATCTTCTGACTCTAGCAATGAAAATGAACAAAAACAACAAAAAGTTTCAATTTTGGGGGTGAGGTAGTCCAATTAGGAACAAGTACTCTTTATAGTGCATACTAATATGTATCTTAGAGGTACTGATTCAACATCATATAATACCTGATGGATTGACACTATAACTGGGGCAATGAGGGTAGATGTGTTGGAGTCAGTGAGACTATCTAAGGCAGGCTTCAGAGTTGTTTTACAACAACTCTTAAAGAAATTATGCCCCACCAGGAGAAGAAAATATTCACTATAATAATAAAATAACTGGTAAATGTTTTATTACAACTAAAAAATACATATTATTGTAGTTTATGGTTGTTATGTGCCATCAAGTCACCTGGGATTCATAGAGACCCCATGCACAACAGCCCTACATACTGCTCTATCTCATGCCAATCTTATTGTCTCCAACACACCTACCCCCATTATCCCAGTAACTGAATCAATCCATCTCATCAAGGGTCTTTCTCTCCTGCACCATCCCTCCACCCTCCCAAGCGTAACGTCCCTCTAAAAGGACTGATCCTGCCTGGCAACACGTCCAAAATATATCACAACTATAAAAACCTACAGAATATCCAAAAGGCCTGCACACAGTCCAGAGTTAGAAAACAAAATGGGTTAAACTAAACATGTTAGTTATTGTTGTTGTTGTTGTTGTTAAGTGCCGTCAAGTCACAGGTGACTCACAGCAACCCTATGAAGGAGAGTCCTTGATGCCTGGGTACCTTTCATCCTCTCTCCAGGTTCATAGGGTTTCTGGAGGCAAGCTATTATGGAAGTGGATGTCTCTCCTGCTTCCAAGCTTGTTTTAATCGGGGAGCTCCAAACACTGTCCACATTGGGTAACCAACCATTAACGCATTTGACACATTAGTGTCACAGTGTTCAGCATCACAGCAACCACAAATGACCGCTGTACGGCAACTTGTACACCAGGGCTATACAACCTAGAGGAATGTCTGAACAAAAACAATGAAAGACAGGCCAGAGGGCTGTAGGCCCGAGGGCCCTACAGTGTCTTACCAGCCCGGCATGCCCAAATGCTGGCAAACTCCTTGCCCCAGACCCCCAGTTCATCTGGTAAGTCTGCTCTGCCAAACCCCTCATGGGCCCAAGAAACCACTACAAGTGCCTGGAGCCCTCAAATCTACCTTGCTTCAAGAAGCCAGAGGCTGGATTCAGCTGATATTAAATATCCCAAGATCCTAGGCAGAGCTTGACCTTTCAGTGTCTTACCAGCCTGGCACGCCCAAATGCTAATTTTCTACAACTTTTAAAATTCAACATCTGTTCTTCTACTTGATACTTTCAATGCTATTTGAAAGAAATTATCTTAAAAATTTAATTTACTAATAAAGCAACTGAAGGAAATTTATGCATTTATAGAAACATGAAAACTATCCTTGGACCAGGTGGCAGTCATCAGAACAGAGCAAGGAAACACTGCATGCTTCAAATTTGGGAAGGGCGTATCCCAGGGATGTGTCCTATCTCCATACCTTTTCAATCTATATGCAGAACAGATTATCCAGGAGGCTGGGTCCTATGAGGAGAAATGCGGCATCAGAATTGGAGGAAGACTCATCAACAATCTGCATTATGCAGATGACATAACCCTACTTGCTGAAACAGAGGAAGACCTGAAGCACTTGCTGTGGAAAGTCAGGGACTGGAGCCTTCAGTATGGATTGAGGCTCAATATCAAGAAAACAAAGATTCTCACCACTGGACTGATTGGCAGCATCAGAATGGGTGGTGAAGAGATTGGGATTGCTCACAGCTTCAGTTTACTTGGTTCCACAATCAACACTCTTGGCTGCAGCCAGAAAATTAAAAGATGTATTGCGATGGGAACGTCTGCTGTTAGAGACTTCTCTAAAATACTGAAGAGCAATGATGTCAGTCTGGAGACTAAGGTGTGCCTGACACAGGCCATGATCTTTGCAATCACTTACTATGTACCAAAAAGCTCAACAGTGACTGGGTGTGATAGAAGGAGAATGTATGCCTTTGAGTTGTAGTGTTGAAGAAGAGTATTGAATATACCATGGACTGCTAAGAAACAAACAGGTTCATCCTAGAGAGGGTTAAAACAGTCTGCTCCTTGGAGGGAAAGATTCTGAAGTCTGACATACTTTGTACATGTTGCAAGGAGGTACCAGTCCTTGGAGAGGGACGTCATGCTTGGGAGGGTAGAGGGATGGTGGAGGAAAGGAAGACCCTCAATGAGATGGATTGATTCAGTGACTAGGGTAATGAGGGTAGGTGTATCAGAAACAGTAAGATTGGCACAGGATACAGAAGGGTTTATGGCTGTTGTACATAGGACCACTATGAGTAGCAGGTGACTCGATAGCACATGACAACAACAACAATATCACCCAATATTAATTAGTAAGATGATGTTGTTATGTACCATCAATTTAGAATCAACCCATAGCTGACCCTCCAGCGAGTTTTCACAGGCAGTAAATCACACAGGAGGAGATTACCCATCTTTCTCCTATAAAGCTACTGGTAGATTAAAATTCCTTCATTAACTTTGGCTCCCGTTTATAAGGTAGTTCCTGAAATTTTTCAGTGTTAATCAATTTTTTCTGGTACAGTGACTCTGTGTATTCTCTCCACCTTCTTTTGATGCTTTCTGGGTCATTCAATAATGCCCATAGCATCTTTCAATATTGCAACATGAGGCTTAAACTTGCTTTTTCAGTCCTTTCAGCTTGAGAAAGTAGAGCGAGTTCTTCCCTTTTTATTCTCTAATTCTAGCTCTCTGCACATTCCATTATAATATTTTGCTTTGACATCCCGAGCTGCCCTTTGAAATTGTCTGTTCAGGTCTTTTACTTCAACATTTTTCCTTTTGATTTAGCTTCTCAACACTCCAGTGCAATCTTTAGTCTCTTCTGACATCCATTTTGTTTTTTTTCTTTCTCCTCTGTTTTTGTAATGACCTTTTGCTTTCTTCATGTATGATAGCCTTGATATCATCCCACAACTTTTCCGGTCTTCTATCATTGGTCTTCATTACCTCAAATCCATTCTTAAGATGATCATGAAATTCAGATGGAATTGATTCAAGATCCTATCTTTGTTCCTGTGTACTTATTTTCATTCTCTGCAACTTCAATTTGAACTTGCATATGAGTAACTGATGACCTGACCCACAGTATGCCCTAGTTTTGACTGCCAATATTGAGCTTCTCCAGTGATTTCTTCCACAACATAGTCAATTTGATTTCTATGCCACCCATCAGGTGAAATCCATGCGTTAGTTAAGTCATCTTTTTGTGACTTTCAGAAAAAGTATTTGCAACGAATAAATCATTATAAATACAAAATTGAATTTCCAGGTTCATTTCTGTCACCAAGCCCATATTTTCCAACTACTATTCCTTCTTTACTGTTTCCTACGTTTGCATTCCAGTAACCAATTATCATTAACACATCCTGATGGCATGTTTGGTGAATTTCAGATGGCAAAATTTGGTAAAAACTCTTAAATGTCTTCCTCTTTGGTTCTAGAAGTAGGAATACAGCCTTTGATATGGATTTTATCTCAATGTCAGGAAAATAAAGATTCCTACCACTGGACCAATAGGCAGGGTCATGTTGGATAGAGGAGATTAAAACTGTCAACAGCTTCATCTTGCTTGGATCCACAATTATCACCCTGGGTATGAGCAGTCAGGAAATAAGGATATGCATTGCATTGGGAAAATCTGCAGTTAGGGACCTTTCCAAATTATTAGTGATGTCAGTTTGAGGATCAAGGTAGGTCTGATTCAGGCCGTATTTTTTCCAATTACTAGGTATGCATCCGAGAGCTGGACAATGAATAAGGACTACAGAAAAAGAATTGACACCTTTGCACTGTGATATTAGAGAAGAGCACTGAACATCCCATGGACAGCTAAGAGAACAAACAGATATGTCTTAGAGGTGATGCAGCTGGCATGCTCTTTGGAGACAAGAATGATGAAGTTTCACCTCCCATACCTTGGGCATGTTGCTAGAAGGGTCTACTCCTTGGAGAGGGATATGATGTTGGGAAGAGTCAGTGAAGGATAGAAAGACCCTCAACCAGGTGGACTGACATGGTCACTACTGCAACGGGATCTCGTGTGTCAGGAAGTGTGGGGATGGCACAGGATAGAACAACGTCAGATCTTTTGCTCATCAGGTTGCTATGAGTCGTGCTCAACTCAACGACACCTAACAACAAGATTCAGACTATATGGCTTTGACTTGGCAGTGAATCTCCTTACCTTACCAAACCACAACTACTCTCTATTATTAAAATCAGTTGTATTATTATTATACAACAAATCAAAGCTATATAGATTGATAGACAGATACAGATTTAATACTCAAATACATTTTTTTAAAAATCCAATCTGATATCAGAAAAACTAAGTTTTCTAAATCACTACTCCATAGTGATTTCTTTAGGCTAATATCTTACTTTTAAAACTGACAGATTATAAAATATAACCCATAACAAAATATAACTGAAGACTTGTAATTAATCAAAGATACACACTTAACAGTCCACCACCAATGTACATCACAGTATCTCTAAAGAAAAATGTGACAAATATTAATAATTTCTTCTTCTCTTTCCCCCTACCATATTTATCCCACACTTAATGGAAAGAAAGAAAAGAGATAAAATCTTTAATACTTTTACCTCACCAAATGGAGTATAAAATTGTACAATGTTTTTATCTTTATCCTGCGTGACTGCCTTCTGGGATCCTGCCACAGCTAAGACGCTGCCAATGTGGTTCCACTGAATACTTACTACGTACATGCTAGTATCAATTAATACAGGATCTAGTAAAAAAAAAACCAAAAAAAAAACCAAACACAGTTATTACTCATAAAATACTTCTTTTAGAGAACTTGATAGTACTTAAATTTAATTCTTTATTTATTTAAAAAAAATCTTACTTTGGTCATTTTCATGTCTCATTATCTGGCATCTCCCATTATCAAAACAAATAGCAAGGCAAGGACAGTCTGGCTCCACATAGCCTTCTGTGCCATGGTACCAATGAATTCCAGCAATACTGATTGCTCCAGTGACATTCACCAAACAGTTCAATTTCATTTTTATCTAAATAAAATTAATCTTATTAATATACCTTTAAAAAGATCATATGAATAGAATTTTGTAGTAAAAAATCACTGAAAATATAATTTCAAAATTTGGTTTCAAATGCAAGATCCATCATTTGCTAGGTTGCTTACCTGGACAAACGCTTCTGAACTTCAGTTTTCTCTATTTGTTAAAGGAAGATTAAAGAAAAACTTAGAATATTTATGAGTCTAAAACGAGATGAGGTATACGGCAGTAATTTGAAAACAGCTTCATGTCATACACAAGTTAGTGATCATTAGTTCTACCAATGAGTAGATTTATATAATGTCCTAGCCCTTGTCAAAAACAAAACTGCCAATCAATAAGGTCAGATATCTATCCCAGTTAAATTACCCAAAACAAGAATTTTTCTTGAGATTATGCTACCAAAAACTAAACTACTATGCCTTCTTTTTTTCTTTATTATTATTATTATTATTAATTTTAATGAAACTTTACAGAGATTTTGGATTTCCATTCAAACTTTCCCTTTACTTCTAAATCTCCCATTATTTTTTATATCCTCATTACAAAAATGCCTTTGATATCTGCATGTAAACTTTAGCTTCAGACACATTCAAGAAAACACTTAAAAAATTAATCTTCACATCATCTTAATCATTAACCTTCTACTTTAATACAATGATATCATGTCCTTCACACCTACCAAAAATATGAATTAAAAACTGATAGTCTAGTGTGTTCCACTAATTTTCCTTGAATCAACCAAGAAGTGTTTATTTTTGTTTTTTTGGTTTGTTTTTTAAATTTATTTTTTAAACTTAATGTTTACAGAGACTTTGGATTTCCATTCATTCATTGTTGCACTTTTCTCCCTGCCCACCCCTCCCCACTCAATTCACTCTTCTCTTTGAAAAGTAAAAGAAAAATTTTTTCATTTTTATACAATCATTATTACATAATCTCTCCCCCCCAAGTCCACTCCACTATGGGTTTTTTTTAATAAAAAAATTTTTTAACTCTCCAGAGAAAAACTCCCAAACTAATATTTCCTAATTACATAAACCATCATAATAAAAAAGGTGTATATACACATATAACATATAAAATCATAACTTAAAATTATGTAACACTAAATAATATATGTATATACTTACCATAAAATTTCCTTGATTATCATAAACATGTATTTCTCCATTTGCCATTCCAAACAATAGGACTTTACTGTCAGATGACCATGCTACATGGCATAGCTGTATGCCCTTTAGATCTTTTCCCCAAATACGATTCCCTAAAGCAAAACAAGATAAAACAAAATTATTACAATTTTAAGGTCATGAAGTATTCTCTCCCAAAACAATTCTTACAATGGTCACAGCACTCATGCATTCATCAGGGTTTTTTTAGGTCAATAAACATTTATTAAGATATTATTAATTACCAAATTGTGAAGAATGGAAATTCCAAAACAATTAATTGTGCTCATGCAGAACCTGTATGTGTTGTTGTTGTTGTTATGTGCTGTTCAGTCACCTAGACTCAGCTGAATCCTGTCCTATCCGAAGTCAGTCTCAGTGTCTTTGACATACCTCACCCTATTATCTTAGTCACTGTGTCAATCCATCTCATCCAGGGTCGCCCTCTCTTGCACTGTTCCTCCACTCTCCCAAGCATGATGTCCTTCTCCAAGGACTGGTCCCTCCTGGCAACATGCCCCAAGTATGTAAGACAGGGCTTCAAAATCCTTGCCTCTAAGGAGCCACCCTCTCCAAGACAAACCAAACCTGTTTGTTCTCTTGGCAGTCCATGGTATGTTCAATATTCTTTTCCAGCACCACAATTCAAAGGCTTCACTTCTTTATCATCCTTACTCACTGTCCAGCTCTCAGATGCATACCAATTCCATAGACCATGACCTGAATCAGGTGCATCTTAGTCTCTAGATTAACATTACTGCTTTTCAGCAGAGAGGTGCCTGACAGCAGATATTCCTAATGCAATTTGCGTATTGATTTTTTTGACTGCTGGTACTCATAGTATTGATTGTGGAACCAAGTAAGCTGAAATTGTCAACGATTTAAAACTCTTCTCCATCTATCAAGGTGCTCTTTGCCAAATGACCCAGTGGTGAGAATCTTTTTTTTCTCGATGTTAAGCTTGAATCCAAATTAAAGACTGCCATCATTACTCTTCTGCAGCAAATATATCATTTCCTCCTCAGTTTCAGCAAATAAGGTTGTGTCATCTACATAACACCTGCTGTTCATGAGTCTTCGTCAAATTCTGATGCCATATTCCTCTTCTTAAAGCCTAGACTCCCAAATGATCTGTTCTGCAGATAGATTGAAATGGCATAAATAAAAGATGGATCCTGTTGCACTCCTTTTCCTCTTTTGAACCATGCAAAATTCCGTGGCCTAGTGGCTAGATGCTGCAATCTTAATGGCCTGAAGTTCAAGGAACCAGCTGCTTCACAGGAGAAGGATAGACAATATCCTCCCATATGATTAACTGTCTCTGAACCATGCAAAAATTCCTTGCTCTGTTCTGACAAATGCCTCCTGGTCTAAGTATAGGTTTTGAAACTTGTATATACCTATATTCTAATTTGATCTCTTCTTGGCTTTGCGAAGACTTTTATTTATTATTCCTTTTCTCTCTTTTGCTTTCAACTTTTCTCTACCATCCCTTTCTTATTAGAATTTAAATTTCCTGATTTATGCCTCTTTAAAAGCACTACCTCAAATAAAATGATAAATAAAACTGAAAACAAAGCATTTGTCAGTTAATCTCCTCTACTAGCTATCATCTATCTTTATCATTCTTTTCCAACCAACTTGAAGCGTTATATGTATCTGCAGACTCCATTTCCTCACCATGTATTCAATTCAATTGATCCTAATCTGGCCACAAAAATTACTTTCATAATAATGGTCTGTTGTTAAATTTAATAAGCACATGTTTTGATTTTTTTTCTTCTGCATCCTCTTTGTTTCTTGACAGGGAGCTTTGGTAGTATAATCTAAAGGTAGCTTTGCTGCTAAGCCAAAGATCATGCCTCTCTGGTGGTTCAAATCCACAGGTAATTCCATGGAGGAAAGATGGACAATTTCCCCCCATGTGGTTTATAACCCTAGAATCTCACTGGATGATCAGCTACAAGTCAGGTGCAATTCAATGACAATGAATTGTGCCCTATAGCAATGAGCTGAGTCCTTCTTCATACACTTTAGCTTCTATGAGTCTATAAGCCCTTTCATCTCCAAGACTGGTAATTTTTTAGTGTCCTTTATGGAATTCTTTTCTCCTGTCCATTCCTTAAATGTGTCTAGTTCTTACATCGCAAATGGTCTTTGAGTTTTTCATTTATTTTAATTAACATCCTTAGGACACTAACAGTCTTTGAGTTTTTAATTTATTTCAATTAACATCCTTAGGGCAGTAATTCCCAAAATCATGCCTTGAGTTTAGCAATCTAACTCTGGGTGGTGTCCTATGGCCTAACAAAATCAGTGCAACCAAAACTGCAATCTTCTCTCAAAAGGAGTCTTTCTCTCACATCCTCAATTTCAATGAAAGGTATCAGTGTCCAAAAGCTCTGTTTTTGTATAATAATTGTAAGGATAAATTATGTAATTAGGCAATATTTAAAAATAATCCTGGACCAGCCAAACAGGACAAGAGACTTTAGGACACATAACTACAAACAAAGACTTTTCTCAGCTCTCTGCAAGAGGAAGGGCTGATCTAAGACCCTCAAAACACAAGCTGCTTGAGCTGGCAGCCCTATTCTCTCACCACACCAGAAACAAAGGAAGACACTAAGCTGCAGGAGAAAAGGTGGGGTGAGAGGTGAGGCTCTATGCCAAGAGTGAGCACTCTCCATTGCTTGTGGGGAGATGGGACTGAAGCTTTCCTGGGGATATAGGTCTCTCCACCTGGGGATACTTGGTTCCACAGCTGCAGGGCCATCTTAGGGACCAAACAGGGTAAGAGTCTTTGGGACACAGAGCTACAAGCAGAGGAATTTTCCTCGCTCTCTGTAAAAGGGAAGGCTGATGTGAGACAAAGCCACACACACACACACACACACACACACACACACACACACACAAGCTGCTTGAGCTGATGACCCTTTATCTCTGATGGGAAGTGATTTTATGATATGTGATCCATGAGAATGATTGCATCATGAAACAGTGTGAATGAAAAATAGTATGAAACGCAATGTAAACAGAATTTTGAAAGCAAACCAATTAAAAAAAATTTACTTCTTTTAAGTACCATAAAGGAAATTTTTAAAAAGATATTTTTTTCCTTGCATATAATAAAACATATGGTCAAAACCAAAAGAAGATTCTTGAATGCCATCAACGGTTTCTTTTCCATGTTTTTTTTAAATCAGAATACTAACATGGTAATTTACTTAAATCTCTAAAAAGATAAAAAGCATCAGCTAAATTCAGATCTTAATATAGAGGCAATGCCTTACCATCCACTGAGCCAACAATCACAGCCCCATCTTCATATACAATGCAGATCTTCTGTCCATCAGCATTCCAGCTCATACTTCGAACTACTGATTTATTTCTATTATTGATCATTTCCTCATACCAAGATCCTGTTTATAAGAAAACCAATAAAAAAAGACAACACTACATATAAGTTTTCACAGTACATCCATTAAATAGCACTTAAAGAGTCAAAAACATTGCATAAAATATACTGAGACAAATGACATTTTCTATAAACTGAGGCATTAAACTATAAAATCTCAAATCCAACATTTAAAAAAATGAAAACGTTATGCCTGAACTAAGGATTACTCCAAAGACTGTCACAGAAAACACAATGAACGCCTAGCACATTTTTTTCTCTAACCTTCTTCCTTTCTAGCAATTAAAAAAATAAAAAATTTATTTGCTTTTCTAAAAATGAAACAACTGATTTTGCACAAAGCTTAACTTTTCCCATTGGGACAACATACTTTGGATAACTATGAAAAGGCAGAATAACTACAAAAGCCATATATCCATAAATTCTCCAATGGTTAATTATCATTATGTTAAATATAAGCAGCTGAGATAAGTCTTGAAACCTATATGAAAATAAAGCTTTACTGTTAAAGAAAGTGATCTTTTTCTACCTTGGAAAAAGATCAAATTTACTCCAAACTCCTGTGCTTTCACATTCTTCCTCTAAATACACATATATAAAAGATTACATATAAGTGTACATATGCATATTTATATATATACACACATATATGTTATTCAAGCACTACAGCATATTTTTAAATTGTTATGTCCCATCAAGCTGTCTACAACTCATATACATCCTATCTGTACAATAGCTCTGAACCCTGTCCTTCATTGAGCCAATCTCATTGTCTCCAATACACCTACCCCTATTACCCCAGTCACTGAGTCAATCCATCTCACAAAGAGTCTTCCTCTCTTGTGCTGTCCATGCACAATTCTGAGCTTCATGTCCTTCTCCCAGCAACATACCCAAAGCATGTAAGACAGAACTTCTAAATTCTTGCCTCCAAGTAGTAGCCTGGTTTCACCCTTTCCAGAACAGATTTGTTTATTCTCTTAGAGGTCCACGGTATGCTCAATACTCTTTTTTCAGCACCCCAACTCAAAGGCATCCATTCTTCTTCTACTGTCCTTAGTCACTGCTCAGCTTTCTGATGCATAGCAAGTAATTGTGAAGATCAAGGCCTAGATCAGATGCACCCTAGTCTCCAGACTGATATCATTGCTCTTCAGTACTCTGGTGATGTCCCTGACAACAGATTCTTCCCCAATTTAATTAGTCTTTTGATTTCCTGACTGCTGGTGCCAAGGGTGCTGATTGTGGAACCATGCAAGCTGAATTTGTTAACAATCTCAATCTCTTGTCCATCTATCATGATGCTGCCAATTGGCCCCGTGGTGAGAATTTTTGTTTTCTTGATGTTAAGTTTTAATCCATATTGAAGACTGCAGTCCTTGACCTTCTGCAGAAAACACCTCAGGTCCTCCTCAGTTTTAACAAGCAAGATTGTATCATCTGCATATCACAGCTTGTTTGTTGATGAGTCTTCCTCCAAGTCTGATGCCACATTCCTCTTCATAAAGTCTAGCCTCCCAAAAGATCTGTTCCACATACATAATGAAATGGTATGGAGATAGGATGCACCCCTGTTGTTAATGACAGACCCTGAGTCAGAACTCGAGCAGTACAGCAGTTAAATGTGGTGCTTCTAACGAAAAAGTCTGAGACTCAAACAAACTAGCTGTTCCATAGGAAACAGATGAGACAATCTGCTTCCACAGAGATCTATAATCTTGGAAATCCTATGGGATGACTCTTCTGTGCCCCATAGAGTTGTTATGACTTGCAATCAACTCAGCAACAACAGGTATACTCTCAACCTTTTTGAAATAGTGCACACTAACAGAAGTATCCTTTACACTTGTAGATGAGGGCCACAAACCTCAGGAGAATTATGAGTTGCTTTCTGGGAAACATGATGTATCAATGTGAATTCTTTTCTAGCATTCTCTTACTTGGGGCAGAGGGAGGGGAGGAAAGCACAGACTGTGCACCACCAGTCACAGCTGAGATAAAATCTCTAATTATAAAAGGAAGCTAACTAGCACAGTAAAGATACTGAATTCTTGCTTTGATTTCTTAATAAATGTGCTAGTAACTTCTTAGCAAATCTGAATCACTGAGCACATAGGAAAAAATTCTTAAAAAAATTGGGTTGGGGTGGAGAAGGAAGAGCTATCTCATATAGAAACTATTCTGCTACTTAAGAGTCTGAGTTCATTTGGGAGACAGACAATAAACATCCAATTTCCTTTCAATGCAGAGTCACATTTCAAAGGAAATAAAGGCAAAAGAAGAGTAAGCAGCAGTAAATAAAAAGCAGCACTATGAGCCTAGAATGAACTTGAACTCTTGTAGGCCAAGAGTTTACTTAGAAAAAAAAGTTTACTTAGAGGATATTATTTCCCTATTGAAATAGTATGATCCAAACTGCAACTTGTACAAGAGTAAATCAGGTCTCTGAATATACCTTTATATAACATCCACACAATGATAAGCCCATTCTGATCGCTGGTGGTCAACTTCTGATATTGTTCATTCCATGTTACAACTTGAACAGAACCTAGAAAATCATAAGACAATATAATTGTTCAAATTACAATGATTTTTTAAATTCATATTTTTATATAAGTATACACCTAAAATCAATACATGCTTTGTCTATATCAGCTAGCTGCTTCTTGTTTTAGGTATAGTCAAGTCAACTCTATCTCATGGCAACATTATGTGCAACAGAACAAAATGTTTCCCAGTCTTCCATTTCTGATAGTATGTTCAAGTCCACTATTGTGGCCAGTATACATTTTGAGTGCCTTCCAATTTAGAGCATTCACCTTCCATCAATCTACCAATCAATATTTTGTGTGATCTAAAGTGTTTTCATTGGCTACTTTTTTAAAAGTAGATTTTCATGCCTTTTATCTGTCTTAGTCTGGAAGCCCTAATGAATGAAACCTGTCCAGCATGGGTGGCCCTGCCAGTATTTAAAATATAAGTGGATAGTTTCTCAACAGCTTTTTAACAAATGGTGTTGGCAAAATTGGGAAAAGTACCTGCAAAAGACTCAAGCAAGATCCACACCTCACTTCATATACAAAAACCAACTCAAGGTGGATCATGGACCTAGGACTAAAACCAAGGACTATAAGCTTCATTAAAGAAAAGCTAGGAACAATGCTAGAAGTCCTAATCTACAACATAAACAGTCTTCCAAGTATCTGAAAAACCTAAAACCAGGAGAAGATAAAATAGATGAATGGGATCTCCTAAGAATCAAATCCCAATGCACATCTAAAAACTTCTCCAACAGAGTAAAAAGGGAAGCCACAGACTGGGAAAAAGTATTTGGTAATGACATATCAGATAAGGGACTTATAGCCAGAATTTATAAAATACTTGAGCACCACAACAAGATAAAGCTAAATAATCCAATAGAAAAATGGGCACAGGATATGAACAGACACTTCACCGAAGAAGACATTCAGATGGCTAACA